ATATATATATATATATATATGGATCGGGCTGCACGCCGCAGCGATATGATTGGATCGGTATGTAGGATCGGGCTGCACGCTGCAGCGATATAGAGCTTGGGCTGTAGGAGCCCCTCCGGAGTCTGCACACCCCCAGTGAGCGCAGTCGACTATATATATGGATCGGGCTGCACGCCGCAGCGATATATGGATCGGGCTGCACGCCGCAGCGGTTACTATATGGTACCTATTGAGTGTGAGTGCTGATTGATAAGAGTTGAGTCACGAGTGACTGAGAGGCTAGCCCGAGGGGCGATAGCTATATACATGCACATGCGTGATGTTTGCCTGAGGGGCCTGATTATGAACTTATTGAATTTCACTTCTCTTTAGAGTGAGTTTCTATTGAATATGTTGATTTAATGACTGTTTTCACTCATCTTTATACTGAGCCTCTGTCGAAAATGTTAGATAAATATTTTTAAACAACTTTCATTTAAGCTGGGGTTTATGAGATGTTCAGAACTTAATCACTGATTTGGCTTTTGTTATTTCCACTGAGATTTTCTTGTTAGGAGGTGTTTATGACTCTTGTTTTGCCTGAGGGGCTGTTTACGAACTATGTTTTGCCCGAGTGGTCGATTATGGTTTTCAGCTCTTTTAATAAAAATGGTATTGAACCCCTACTGAATCTGTCGGAAGGCATTTTAAATGATTTTTACCAAAAGCTGAAATTTTAAAGAGGCGATTGACCCGTATTCTGATATAGCAGCCTGTGTGCTTATTGAGTTTAACATAAATGTGGATTCATTGTTTCCTACTGCTCAGTCTTTATTTATTTTTATTACTTACTGGGTTGGAGTACTCACATTACTCCCTGCACCTCGTGTGCAGATTCAGGTATTTCAGAACCCGGTAGCGGGTGTTGGATGCTCAGACGCGGAGTCATTAGAGTTGGCAAGGTGGCTGCACGACGTTCGCAGCACTGCTTCTTTCCTCCCATTTTCATCTTTGTACTTAGTACATTTGACTGTCTTTGTTGTATTCAGACCTTGATAGATGCTCATAGCTAGTGACATCCCGATGTCGGGCTTGTATGTTATTTCCGCACTGTTCATTCAGACTTATATTATGGAATATTGTTTAACTAAAGGCTTAAAAATGACTCTTAATGATTAAAGGGTTAATATGGGTGTTGTGTCGGCTGGCCTTGGCTTCACGAGAGGCGCCATCACGATCGGGCCGGTTTGGGGTCGTGACAGAAAAAGTAATCACATGTAGGGGGTTTACTAGAAGATGCTTTTCAGAATGGGTCGGTAGAAGATGCATCTTATTTCTTATATTTGCTTGCATGATATAGATATTGCCAGGAGATACTTAAAATCTGCCATCAACAAATGGTGTTTCTATTTGTTTCTATTTCAGAAAGTTATTTTTCTTAATTTAATTTTTTGTAAATTCAATAATGAGCAAATTCTCCAAGTCCATTAAATAAGGAGGTCTAACGTATTTCTTGACTTATTTAATCACAGCCACACCTTCTATAGGACATGAGAATGCAACTGAGGTGTCATTATGGTAGGATGTCATATGGGATCGATAAGTTGGATTGAAGGAGCTATTCACATACTTTAGCAGGGCACTGTAAGTTGAAAACTATCGTAAGAGAAGCCTTCAACAATTGAAAATATTAAATGCTCTCTTTTCTACTTCTGTTTGTATTTTTTTTTTTTTAAAAAAAAAACAACCTTTATGCTTTCTTTGTACAACTGTATTTTATTCTAGATTTTTTAGATTCATCACCCTACACTTCCGTTTGTAGCTTCTTTTAATTATAAATTTTGAGGAGATTGAAGCACCTTTATGCAAATGTACACTACTACCACCCTACATATTTTAGATTCATCATTTCCTTTGAAACAATATTTGTAATGCTGCTAGTAATATGATTGCAGGTTGTTGATCAGGTTCCTCGAATTTTATTATATGCCATGGCGCTCAGAACTATGGTTCAAGTCACATAAATAATATTGAGAAATAACTGTGGAAAAATACGAGCGAGTGTGGATACAAGTGATTAACTTTACTTCTGTATTATGTAATTGTTACTTCGGGTTATAATGCTTATATGTAGGTTGTATGAAATTGAAGATTGCCTATTACCATATATTTTGAACCCTATCTAGACGAGCTAAGTTATTTAATCACAGGTTAGGCTCGTGAGGTACTTTTGCTTTCTGCAAGAAGTCAGGATGTTTTTCCAAATACATAATTGCTTTTGCTGCAACCTCAGCAGTAAATTCATAACCAGCAAATGTAACCGAAACTAGCGTTGTAATGATATTCTCATCATCTTGACTACTGTCTAGCGTCGTATCCACTATGCTGGACTTTGGCGTTGCTTTATTTTTTCCAATCATGGCTTTTCTTTCCTCCAATATCTGATAAAATATCTTAACTATTGCTCCTCGAGCCTGAAACGATAAAAATGTTCGATTATTCAAAATATTCAAGTTAAACAAAGGAATTTTAGTTTGCATTCCGTTTTGTTTAAATCCACAATTAGGATCTCAAAATACAGTTTTTGTGAATTCAATACTTTCAGATATTTAGAGGGTTGTTTGGTATGACTTATTTTAAGTGTTTATTGGCTTTTAAGAATTTTTTTTTTTTGTTTTTGTATTGTTTGTCAATGATAAAAAAAAAGTGCTTAAAAGTACTTACTATTAGGCATGAAAAGTATAAAAATGTGACGACCCAAAGGGTCATCACCTGTTTTTAATTGAATTCTGTGACTCCGAGGCCTTGAAAACCTCATTTAGAGTCGCCTCTATTTGCATACACAGTCCGGGCGCGTAGCCGGAAAGCTTAAATGTGAAATTCTGTGAAAAATGCTAAGTTTTGATATTAAAATGAATAAATTTGACTTTGGTCAACTTTTTGGGTAAACGGACCCGGACCTGTGATTTGACGGTCCCGGAGGGTCTGTAGGAAAATATAGGACTCGGGCGTATGCCCGGAATCGAATTCCGAGGTCCCCAGCCCGAGAAATGAATTTTTAAAAGAAATTATTTTTCTGAAATTGTTAAGGAAAGATTGAAATGATATTTGATTGGAACGTGTTGGTATCGGGCCCGTATTTTGGTTCCGGCACCCGGTACAGGTCTTATATGTGAATTAAGATATTTCTGTGAAATTTGGTTGAAAACGGACGTCGTTTGGCGTGATTCGGACCTAAATTGCTAAAGTTGATGCTTTAAGAAGTTTGAGAAAAATGCTTTGATTTTGAGATTTAATTGTTGATAATAATGTTATTTCGGGGATTTGATCGCACGGATAAGTTCGTATGATGTTATTGAGTTAGTACGTACGTTGGTTAGGAACCCGAGGGCTCGGGTGAGTTTGGATAGGTGTCGGAGTGTTTTGAACTTAGAAAAAATCTGGTTTTTCTGCAGCTTTTTGGTGTCCAGTGATTTGTACTATGCGATCACATAAGTAGGCCCGCGATCGCATAGAGTAATTTTCAGGGGTTCAGTTTTGTTCTACGCGATCGCATAGTGTCTCCCGCGATCGCATAGTGTTAAGTCTGAGAGGTCCTATATTTTCCTCTATGCGATCGCATAGTGCTATTCGCGATCGCGATGCCCAGCCTGTTTCTTCTCTGCGATCGCAGTGCTCTGTTCGCGATCGCAATGAACATTTTCCCCTTACTCTATGCGATCGCATTACATTCTTCGCGATCGCATAGAGCATTTTCGCCCAGTTAAATTTTTAAAACTTTAGAAATAGTAGCATACGGGATTCACCAAATATTTCACAAAACCTTTCTTCTCCAAGCTCTTAGGCGACCATTGAAGCGATTCTTCATCAAAACCTCTTGGGTTAGTAATTCTTAGCTTATTTTCTTCCATTTTCATCAACATCTATTGAAATTCTAGGCTTAAAACATGTGATTTAAGGTAGAAAATTGGGTATTTGGGTAGAGTTAGGGCTTTTTGATTTTTCTTGATTTAGACCTCGTTTTGGTGTCGAATTTGAAAACAAATTATATATTTGGGCTCGTGGGTGAATGGAGGATTTGATTTTGGTCCGAACCTCGTGTTTTGACCAAGCGGGCCCGGGGTCGATTTTTGAGTCTTTGGGAAAAATGATGAAAAAGCTATAATTAGGCATTGGGTTCGTATTGTTTAGCATTTATTGATGTATTGAAGTCATTATTGTATAGATACAATTGATTTGGAGCCGAATTCGAGAGGAAAGGCGGTTATTGAGGATTGAATTGGCCGTGGAAGTTTGAGGCAAGTGTTTGGTCTAACCTTAGCTTGAGGGATTAAGAGTTGAGTCCTATTTTCTATGTGATAATTGTTGAGTACGACGTATAGGCATGGTGACGAGTATCTATACGTTGGTGTCAAGTATGACCGTGAGTCTTATATTGTGATTTTCATGGTTTCGTTGTATTCTTCATGTTTTGGTGATGATTCCTAGTTGTTGTGAAAAGTTTGTGGGAGGAATTGAGACCTTTGAACATTTTGGAGCATTGGCTCGAGTTATATTATGAATTGTGAAAGTATATGAGAAGATTGAACCCTTTGGAGCATTGGGTCAAGTGGTAAAGTGAGTTATGAAGTACAAGTGAAAGATAGAGAAAGACTTATTGAAATGTTCCCTTGCCGGGATTGAATTATTTAATCGTTGTTCCCTTGCCGGGATTTGATTATTTACTTGTTGCTCCCTTGTCGGGATTTAACTGTTAAATCGTTGTACCCTTGCAGGGATTCCTATATGTTCTTGTTTATTTCCCTTGCCCTTGTTTGTGATTGTTGTTTGGGTGAGGAAGAGTGTTAACGCACGAAGGGTGATGCCGTGCACGGTTTCATTATATTATTGCTTGGTGAGGACGAGAGTAAAAGCACGAAGGGTGATGCCGTGCACTTGTCTTTGATTTTCCTGATTTTTATGCTGATAATTGAGTTATGTTGTCCTTTACTTGTATTTACTGATTTTCTTGTTGTTACCGGTTCTAGTGCATTAATTGCCTTATTCCACTATTACTGTGATTCTTTATGTTGGCATTTTCCTTTATAGTGTTACTTGTTATTATTGGCTCGAGGTATCCTTGCGCAACATTATGCCTTGAATTTATGCTATGATTGCTACATGTTTATGTGACTTTATTGCTACTTGACATTTAGCATACTAAATATTAAATTGCCTATATTCTCCTTAAAGTCCATAATTAATTGCTACTTGTCATTACTTGTTTTCCTCAGTGAGTCATAATTATTGTGTACTTGTTGTCTTATGAATTTGTATTATTTGTTGCGTTTGTTGGAGTAAATTTCATTTGTAAGAATTGTTGATTTAACGAAATGGAAGCGGGTGGTACGGCTACCACGAGATTTAATGAAATGGGAGCGGGTGGTACGCCTACCACGAGATTTAATGAAATGGGAGCGGGTGGTACGCCTACCATGAGATTTAATGAAATGGGAGCGGGTGTGGTATGCCTACCATGAGATATAATAAAATGGGATCGGGTTGCACGCCTGCAACAAGATGTGAAAAGAAAGTGAAAATCTGCCTTTTTTTCCTTATTCTTGCTAGTAGTTGGATTTTGGTTCCTATATGGTTCTCTTGATATTCTGCTTTACTTGTTATTCCCCGAAGCATGGTCCCCCCTCCCATCCTTACTTGCTTATACCCGCTTTACTTTCCGTTGTACATTATATAACTGCACAGGTTTATTTGGTAGTCTGGTCCTAGCCTCATCACTACTTCGCCGGGGTTAGGCTAGGCTACCAGCACATGGGGTCGGTTGTGCTGATACTACACTCTGTGCTCTTTTGCACAGATCCAGGTCCCGGACAGCAGTAGTAGCTCGGGAGCCAGCCTTCAGTCCATCGAGACTCCGAGGTAGCCTTGCACGCGTCCGCAGGCCCGACGTCTCCTCTATCTTATATTTTATTCTGTTATCTCATGTTTTCGAGACAAACAGTGTTATATTTCTTTCAAACGATTGTATTTAGTACTCTTAGTAGTCCGTGGATGATGTGACACCAGTTCTTGGGTAGAGGCACATGTTGAATTCCGCATTATTTTTCAGCTTATTTAATTAAGTCTTCCGCTTTAATTTCATATTCCGCTGTCATATAAATATTTAACGCTTGTTGTTATGATTGATAAAAGGATTTAAAATAAACTAGGTAGGAGTTTATGATAATTGGCTTGCCTAGCTCACATTAGTAGGCGCCATCACGACTCCTGAGGGTGGGAAATCCGGGTCATGACAAGTTGGTACAGAGCCCTAGGCTACACAGGTCTCACAATTCACGGACAAGCTCAGTAGAGTCTGAGGGATCGGTACGGAGACGTCTGTATTTATTCCCCAGATGCTACGAAGTTAGGAAAACTTCACACTTGTTCTTTCCTGTCGTGCGATTTTGTTTCTCAAATGCTAAATTGAAACCTCTACTCTTGTCCCTTCGCGAATGGCGAGGTCATGTACCGCTTCTTCAGTTGAACAGCAGCCCATGCCAGTGTTAGATCAGCTACGTCTTTGGAGGCTTTGTGGAGGTTGGATAAGTTTCACCAAGCTCTTCACTACTACATTCAGCGGTGCATCTACTGAGGATCCCCAGGATTATCAAGATAGCTGTCACGAGGTTCTCAGCAACATGGGGAACGTGGAGACCAATGGGGTCGATTTTGCTACCTTTCGCTTGTTTGGATCCGCCAAGACCTGTTGGAGAGATTATTGATTGGCTATACCAGTTAGGTCACCAGTTTTGACTTGAGAACAGTTCACGCAGCTATTTCTGGAGAAGTTTCTCCCCATCACTCAGAGAGAGGCCTATCGGAGGCAGTTTGAGCGTCTCCAGCAAGGTTCTATGACTGTTACTCAGTATGAGACCGGGTTCATCGATCTAGCACGCCACGCTCTTGTCATACTTCCCACCGAGAGAGAGAGAGTGAGGAGGTTTATTGATGGTATGATTCAGCCGATTCATCTTCAGATGGTCAAGGAGGCCGGGAGTGAGATCACATTTCAGGAGGCGGCCAATATGGCCCGCAGAGTTGAGATGGTTCTGTCATAGGAAGGTGGTCATGGGTCGGATAAGAGGCCCCGTCATTCAGGCAGATTCAGTGGTACCTCGTCTGGAGGTAGAGATTCATATGGTAGAGGCCATCCTCCTAGGCCCTTTCAGTCAGCTCTCCAGGTCTCCCATGGTACTTCAGGTGGTCGTGGTTCTCAGCCGCATTATTTCGATCAGCAGCCTTACAGTGCACCATCAGCACCTATCAGTGCACCGCCGCTTCAGAGTTTCCAGGGCCGTCTGCCGAGGGCTTGTTTTACTTGTGGCGACACGAGGCACATTGCTAGGTATTGCCCTCGAGCTTCGAGTAGTTCTCAGCGTCAGAGTTCTCATGCTATGGTACAGTCACCAGAGATCCCACAGCTCGCCCAGCCAGC